AGCATGGCTGGCTGGGGAATTCTGGGAGTTGAAGTCCACCCATCTTCAAGTTGCCAAGGTTGAGAAACACTGGTATAGGCTAAAATAATAAACTTGAAAGCCCAACTGTTTTCTCTTTCCGTCCTTCATACCAAAGAAAGTCAAAGTGGGGGATCTTGAGTCTCTTTCCCACACTTCCCTGTTTTCCTGGACTAAGCACATCTTTTACTAATGGTTGCCGCATATTTTTCCAAGGCCATCTCTGGACTCCCTCTGCACCATCCCGCTTTAGGGGGCAAGGATAAAAGGAACAGAGACCTTCCCTCACGTTGAGCTTTCAGAACAACGGTGGGCTGGATCTTCAGTGAGTAAATCAAGAGTTGTCCTGTCAAGAAAAGGGAAATAGGAACCCATTTCAATATCGGGAACGCCGGAATATCAGTTTCTTTCCAAAGAGAGGTTTTCTCTACCTTTCCCTGGAGTTTTGTCCCTTAAAACAGCCTCTCCCATCCCAACCTTCTCCGGTGGAAAGAGCACTCCCTCCATCTTCCTCCAGTGCAGCAGCAATGCATTCATTCCTAGGAATTGCACACCCACCGATCTGGGAGCAATGGAAACGCAGTAGATGCATGTCGGGATCTTAGCGTTCTTTGTCTCAACATTAAAGCGTAATCCCATTAACCCAGGGAGATCATTAAAGGACCTATTGCTTTCGCTGTCAGCCCCCAGCTGACGTTGCTGGCTTGGAGGTTCTCAACTTTTTATACTTCTCCATTTATCTCGGAGGCAACGTAACTCATGGAAGGTGGGGTAGATTGAGAACAGCACCATCCTTGGTTAATGTTTGAAGAATGACTCAAACGAACGTTTAATAACTTTCAAAGGGTTGTAAACAGGTTGCCATAATATTATGACATAGCTAGAGGCTGTTCACCCTTCTCCGATACTAAAGATATATTCCCAAGGCTGTCACTTGGACAGATAGGTGTTTTATGACTTCAAGCTTTTGTCCAACCCTCTTTCTATCCATACCTCCCAAATTCTCTCCTTAATCCTTCCTCCTTCCGGAATATAAACTGGGAGGAGGTACCCCAGGTTCCAATGCTTTGACTGGCAGTTCCAATGTCCAATCATCCTAATGCAAGAGGTCCACAGTATTATACCAATTGAGTTGGGGCCCTAAGGAGTGGTTGAAGGTATATATCAGCCTTGCTGGGGAAGAAGGGAGAAGCTGACTTGGATTTAGGGACCCACCCTGATCAGCAATCTTTCACAGACGCTTTAATTGGGTGCCTGTGCTCCTTGAAGGCACGCAAAGCATCCTCTTGGGCTGGGTTCACCTCTCCCTCTTCTTCCTCCAAAGGCCTTCCATGGGCCTGCCAATCTATGCGGGATTCCCATCTTGCACTGATGGTTTGGCTTCATGTGTTGTGTGAATGCAACTGTTGTGACACAGCTGAGGGCTCAACATGATGCACCAGCCTGGCTGCTGTGGTGGAATCCACAGGGGTCACAGTGCCCCGGCTGTTATGCAGGTTCCCTTTGCTTTACCTCTTGCACCCTTTCCTTGAACGGCAGGGACCTTAAGCTGGAGAACCTTCTCCTGGACAAGCGTGAGAACATCAAGATTTCCGATTTTGGCTTCTCCAAGATGGTGGCTGCCCAGACGCAGCCCCCGCCCACCCCCTCGTACCGTATGATGAGTTGCTTCTCCCACCTCAGCCAGACCTACTGCGGCAGCTTTGCCTACGCCTGTCCGGAGATCTTGCTGGGCCTGCCCTATAACCCCTTCCTCTCCGACACGTGGAGCATGGGGGTCATCCTTTATACTCTGGTGGTGGCTCATCTGCCCTTTGATGACACCAACCTCAAGAAGCTCCTGCGAGAGACCCAGAAGGAGGTGGCTTTCCCCAGCCACCTCCAGATCAATGAGGAGATTAAGGTGAGAGTAGCTGCTTGCCAAGGTATCTACCTAGCACCCCTTCCCTTACTCACACTGGTTGGGCATGAGGGGTGTACAGTAGTCTAACCCATCTGGAGAAGCCCTGATGGAGGAACACAGCTTGCCTTCTTTTGGGTTGAGTTTTGCCTCCAGGTTTAAGCACTATGTGAATTGGACTTGGCTATTAATCCACTAATCATAGCCGGGGCATCATCAGGTTGTATGCTGTTTCTGAAAGCTCTTGTCCTGTGGATAAAATGGAATGGGCCCCAGAAATGAATGATGGGAGGATGCTCTTGCCCCCCCCCCACAATTTTCCACCACCTCCCCCAGGTCCAACTGCAGGTGAAGAAAGTCACTGTTAAAAGGGGCACCATTATGCGAACAGTTCTTCTGATGCACAACAGATACCTTTGTTATTTAGGTACCTGATCAGATTGGCCAGCATGGAGGAAAATCCGTTGTGAAACTTCACAATCCTGCCATGAAAGCCTCCTTTATTTTTTTGTAAAGGAGGTTCCTTAGGAGTTGCAGCATCTACCCACTCATCCGTCCAGCTCCATTGTCTCCCATTCATCCAAACATCTCCATTATCTTCCTTCCTTCCTTCCTTCCTTCCTTCCTTCCTTCCTTCCTTCCTTCCTTCCTTCCTTCCATCCATCCCCATCTTCCATCCCTCCTCCACCCATCTCCATTGTCTCCCATCCACCCATCTCCATCATTTTCCATCCATCCATCCAAACATCTCCATCTTCCTTCCTTCCTTCCTTCCTTCCTTCCTTCCTTCCTTCCCATCCATCCCCATCTTCCATCCCTCTCCATTGTCTTTCATCCATCTACCCATCCCTCCATCCACCCATCTCTATTGTCTTCCATCCATCTCTCCATTCCTATTGCCTTTCTCATCAATCTGCTCTTTCTCTTTCATCCATCCCCCTCATCTTCTGCCCCAAGGTTGGCCTTTTTAACTTTTGCAGGAAAGCACCCTGTTGTTGTGGCACAGATTCGCTTGGAAGCCTGGCTGCCCAGCCGGGTCAAGTCTTGGTCCCTTTTTGGGCAGAGCAGCCTTGGGGGCATCCTCTGCTGTGAACACAGCAGCGACTTAGGAAATACGACAGAGTAATTCTCTACCTCAAAGAATCATATTAACCCTTCCTCTCCTCAAACAGGCAAGGGAAGAGTTTCAGCAGTAGAACACTATACTCTCTATCTTCACGAAGGTTCATCCCCGGAGATGCTATTAATTATTGTTTTTCAATTGGGCATACCCACCCATCATCAGAGTTGCTTGGCCTCTGCCCCAAAGAGCTGGGAGCGCTGGGGGGGGCGTGGTCCATCCTGTTGAGGTGGCACCAGAGGTTGGAGAAGGCTCTCCTGGCAGGGAGAGGGCACGAGCAGGCAGTCCTGGTCCTCACCACGGAAATCTCGTTCCAGGACTTGATCCGTCGCATCTTGCGCCCGGCCTCGAAACGGCTCAACATCCTGGAGGTCCTCAAAGTCTCCTGGGTGCTGAAGTTCTTGGCGGAAAAGCCCACCACAGAACTGAAGGCCCTGGAGGCGATCTGCGGACCCCGGGCAGTGGAGGCAGGCAAAAGCGCAACGCCCACCACCAAATCGAGGTCCCTCACCTTTAATGTGGATAAAAAAAAAGCAGCCAGTCGGACTCGCAGCACCGGCCAGATCAAGCCGTCGAAGAACGCAGAGAAAACGAGCTGAAAGATGTATTAAAAAATGAGGGACTCTAAGCGGTTTGCGTCTGGCCGTGGGGCTGAGCTGCTGGATCTCCAGCTGTGGGGACCTGTCGCCAATTATGTCCAGGGAAAGGAGGGGGATGGAGAGAGAGTGCCCCATCTAGGGCTGGCCTGTACCGGTCCAGATAAAGTGGTGTGGTTTGGATACTCATCTGCGTGCTGTTTTTCTGAAGGTGAAGGACAGACCCCAGCTCGCTTTTGTGCTTCTTAAAAGGCACAAGAGTCTTGGGCATAAGTTCCAGCAAGAACAAGTTCAGCTGGGGAGGGAGAAAGTGCTAGATTGTGTGCAGGGCTTGGTGGGGGGGACGACTTTGTATCTGGGGGGGGGAGCAAGACATATCCCACTCACTTCAGACAACACATTTTAGGGCACTTTATTCACTGGGCACAGAGAGCAACAAAGCAAAGGGCCACACTGCAGGAGCGCACATGTGTAAACGGGGGCGGCGCTTCCCCCATCCCGCTCCTGCCCACGAGTCAATTTAAAAAAAAAAGCAGACCGAGCAAGCTTTAAAAAAAAAACACATAACCGACGACCCAAACCGTGTTAACAGATACACGCTACCGATAAAACCAGGACAGACAGTACTTCCAATCCAAACTAAACCACGATTTCTCCCCCCACCCCCAATCCGCCCTTCTTGGCAGCCCCCCCACCCCAAGCATTCCTTTTAACACCATCCTGTTACATGGTACGTGGGGGAAATGAAGTACGGCACCTTTTGTGCGTGTGGGTTGTGTGCGCACTGTGTGTGTGGGTGCGTGGGTAGCTGGGCACAGGCACAAGAGATCAAGGTCTCCCAAAAGGAGAGCACCAGTTGCAGAGGAAGGACGATAAACTCCCAGAATTGGACAGCAGCCAGACAGCAGATACAGAACAGAATGTACCTCTTGAGAACTTTTCAAGCTTCATTTTCGGGAGTGTCACACTGTCCACTCTTTGTACCCAAAAGAAGGGTCAAATCCTCCGTTTTACTGAAAAAGAGCAAACCCCTAGATGCTATAAGATTCAGTCTTTATCTGGGGGGGGATCTCCTTTAAGCCCCCCCGAACACACTCCCGTTCTATATTGTAGATATATATATATATTTATATAAATCTGTCTATAAAACTGTTTACATTCGGCACGTAAGGTCATTTTAGGCAGGGTGTGTTACTTCCGCCCCCCCCTTTCCTCCCCGCCCAACTTCCCTGACACTGGGAGCCGGAGGGGAGAAACTGGTCCTCTCCATCTCTGCCTCTATCTCAGAAGGAAGCAAAGGGAGGCGGGGGAATTTCCCACAATGCATCACGACACCCAGGCGGCAAGCTGTTTCAACTCCTCGTCATCGTCCAGGGAGGCTGCTGGCACTTTTGAAGCTGCAGGAAGAAAAGGCAAATCAGGGCGAAGGAAAGAGCCTGTTTTCCACCCTAGATTTCTCTTAGAGGCCCACAAGCCATTCCAACTCAACGACCACCTGAGGGGCGGGACTAGCATCCCATTATCCCCAGCCGGAATCCTGGGAGTCATAAGTCCAACACCTCTGGAGGGGGTCAGGCCAAGGGAAGGAGTCTCCTGCGACGTGATATTAAGCTTCAGGGGCCATGGATGTTATCATTTCCCCCCACTGCTTTGTACCTGGCACACTGGGGAGGCGAGAGGAGGGGACGTTGGGGAGTTCCGGACTGGGCTCCCCAACGTTCAGAAGGTCCTTGTCCAGATCTTCCTGTTCCATCTCTTCCAGCTCGGCCAGCAGCTCGTCCTGTGAAGGCAGAAGACCAAGATTTCCACTGAAGGCCTCTGCCTCCCAGCACCCAATCCCTCCTAAAGCAAACCCACCGAGCGCAGCCCTCCTTTGCACCCGCGTTACCTCATCTACATCGTCCCCGAAGCCAACCGGCTTAGAGATGGCATCCGAGATCTGTTGGGCGATGTCCTGCTGCTCGGTGATTTCGGACATTAAGTCATCCACCTTGTCGATGTCCCTAGAGCGAGAGCGTGAGGGGTGAGATGGGCAGAAGGAAGGAAGGGAATAAGGAAACTGTTGGACACCAAGCAAATTCATGCGGGGAGGGAGTTCCAGTGGAGTCTCTGGTGACCCAATTAAATAACATCATCAGTGTGATGATCATCAGTGAATGTCATCTGGCGCTGATGATGTTACCTAGTTGGGTCATGAAACGTCTGCAAGGCAACCACCAAGTTCAGAGAGCACCAAGAACTCCCCAGTTCAACCCTGAGCTACAGATATTCACTTCCTTTGGACTAATTGTCAGAGGTGAAAGAAGATTCCACGGTCCATTCAGAATCCATTTTAACTTCGCCAGAAGCCTATAGATCGGATCAGAGCAATGTTTTTTCAGCGAAGGCCACCAGGGAAAGCGTCAAGGGCCACAGCAATGCTCCCCAAAGGGCTGAAAACATTGGCCCAACATTTAAAACGCCAGCAGCAATTTGGGTGCACCATCTCAGATGGAGGCTGGGGCCGTATGTTCCTTCAAGCTGCCCTTGATCTAAACTGGCGTTTTTCAACCTTGCTAACTTGAAGAGGTGTGGACGGGAGTTGAAGTCCACACCTCTTAAAGCAGCCAAGGGTGAAGAATGCTGATCTAAGCTAAAGGCAAAACCTGCCTTGCCTATTCTGCCACCTCCGGTCTCCCCGGCCACCCTCCCCGGGTGATGTTCACAGATGCGGAAAGATGTGATGCTCACATATGCTGGTGCGCCTCTTTCATGGCCCGGGCAGCTTCCGACATGGTCTTGAGGACTTCGGTGTTGGTGGTGGCGTTTTCGAGGGCCTCTCGTTGGAATTCGATAGTAGAGAGGGTGCCGTCGATTTGGGACAGCTGCTGTTCATAACGTTTCTTCCGCTTGAGGGCTTGCAAAGCAGCTGCATCGAGAATGAAAAAAAGCCCCAGAAGCATTGGCCGAGGGCCCTGCCCGGGATCGGCCCGCCGGTTCCCCTTTCCCTAAGCTGAGCTTCCGTTTCCAAACACACGTCACCCCATGCTTCTAGTCCTCATGCAGGAGAGGAGCTGCTCAAAGCAGTTGTGAAGGGTGCTTGTTAAGACCTCACATACGAGACAGGGAGCTGAATTAACCTTTGTGGGGGTCGTGGGAGGCGGCCTGCCAACGAGCAAACTGCAAATCTTGCGTAGGGGGGATGATTTATATCGACAGTGTAAGCGAGGGCAGAGAAAAGCGTTTGTATTGTTAAAAAACGGGATGCCATCTTCAAAATCATCATCGACGTGCAGACATTTGCAAGCGCTCCAGGGAGACCGACCAAAATAATTCAAGGAAGCGATTTGCGTGTGTGTTTATACAATACACACAGAACTATTAAAACTACTTCCTTGTGGGGTTTTTTTTCTCCCTACTGGTCATCATGGGGGAGGGTGACATATAAAAGTTTATGTACATATTGGAACTGCTAGCCTGCCCCCCCACACTCTAGCCTAGTGTTTCTCAACCTCAGCCACGGTAAGATGTGTGGACTTCACCTCCCAGAATTCCCCAGCCAGC